TAGCACAACTTCAGCGATGAATTGCGGGCAAAGAGTCTATGTCAACTGTGAGAAGCAGGCTCGCTCAGGTCACTTGCAAGTCTATCGACTTATCAATCAATCAACGTGGCGAGTTCGCTTTCAAGTTCACGAAGTTGAATCTGGTGAGATACTCTGTGGGAAACTAACCCTTGTTGCAAAATTCCTTATTGAACGCTTCCTATAGAGGTAGAATTCGCCGTCTGATTAGCTCCTGAGCAAGCGATAGCTGCTGAATAATGACTGAAAGGACCTTATAAAGCAGGGGTGGGCAAACTTGGCCCTTCCAGGCCCGTTTCCTTCAGAGTTTAGCTCCAACCCTAATCAAACACACCTGAACCAGCTAATCATTGTCTTCAAGACTACTAGAAGGCTAGGCAGGTGAGTTTTATCAGGGTTGGATCAAATCTCTGCAGGAAAGTGGCCTGGAAGGGCCAAGTTTTTCCCATCACTGTTATAAAGGGAATTATGATTGGCGTCGTATTCCTATAGGTAAAAGAGGATCACCTGAGTGTCAGCTGATGCGAGCTTGACTAACATGACCTGCCAGAATATGCTCCATTAGTACATCATCTGCATACAATGCAAGTTTGTTGCTCGAGTCGTCCCCGACTTTAAGACCTTTTATTGTAGAATGAAATCATATACTCTGTGCTAAGGGCTCTATACATAAAAATAAAAATAAATAAATAAAGGACCAAAAACAGTGTGAACAGCTTTTTTTCAGCATCTAGTGTCAATATTAACATTTCTTTCTTAATTTTAGTTGCATAATAAGATTGAGTGTTTGACACACATTATCATACAGTACACAGGTTTTCAGAGATCCAGTTTGGTCTAAATTAAATATTATTGGTATTATATCAGCAAGCCTGGCAGCAATTATTGATGTAAACAGTTTTTGATAAACATTTAATAGAGATACAGGTCTATAAGATGAACATTGTGTGGGGTCTTTCCCTTTCTTTCGGTATTACTGATATAATAATGTTCTGAGCAGTTTTGTTTTAAAATAGGCCACATGATATTCCTTAAGGTGAGCAGGACTATTTAAAATTATATTTATTGTATTCAAAAATATATTATCAGAGAAGGTTATACCTTTTAAATGAATGTGTGCACTACATTATTTACATTCCTTAAATTACATTTCTCTGTTCTGTAAAACTGCATCTAAGAATACAGCGTCGGTTAATGCAGTGCCATTCTCCTCATTATTATGTCAAGAAAAACAAAATGGTCCTGAAATTCAGTCGATACAGACAGCTCACCTTACATTATTTTTTCTTTTTTTTTAATTGTGGCATGTTTTGTGGTACTTTGCTTTTATTTTTATCAACTTTCATTTCTTTGTATGTCTCTCTGTGAAGCTCCTTGAGAAGCCTGTTTGGAAGGCACAATAAAATAAAGTTGTTTGTGAATCAAATAGATAACCAGACTCAAAGCAGTTTCAGTCAGTGTTTTATGAAAAATAAAGTTAGAGTAAAAATACAAAACAATATGATTGTTCATTTATTCATTAATAATCAAATCATTCTAATATTTTATTGTACAAACTCCAGAATACTGGAACTCCAACACCGCCCAGTGTTCCTCTCAGTAATGTAGCTGATGAACCTGCTGGACCCACAAAACCCCCCGTGATCATCCCAGCCGCACAACCACACATGATTCCCCACAGTCTGACATGTTTCAGATGATCTTCAGTGAATCTCCTGATCCTCCATCTCTGATTGTTGTACATCTGTGTGCAAACGGCTCCTGAAGCAGCTCCTGTCACTGCTGATAACACACCTCCAGCACAACCATACAGAAATGTTTTAACATCGAATAAACCTTCATTCCTCATATTCACACAGCCCAGTGCAAACACAATGACTGCACTGACTGCATACAGATACTGTGGCTTTGTAAATCTCTGCAGAAATACTTTGAGTGATTGAGTCTCAAACATTTGTAAAGTGTAGCAGCTGTTCTCATTTTCAGACACCATTCGTTGGATCTTCACCAAGAGTTTGGTGACCTGCTCTCTGTCGTTCAGATCTTTGTTGTTCAGTAAGTGAAATCTCCCTCCGCACTCCTCTGTTAGTTTGGACAGCTCTGCGTTACGTCTAATGAGTTGATCGGCTGATTTGTGTTGAAGCTCGTCTCCATGTGTGAACAGGACTAATGTGTGTTTCATGGCGTTTTCACCAAACATCTGCTTGAATAAGAGCACGGTATCTGCATCTTGCTGAGTGAAAGTGTGTAAAGGGAAAACCAGAAGGATCGCGTGGATTCCTGGAGAGCACAGGTTCAGTCCTCTCTTTAACTCCACATTCAGATCAATGTTTGCTGTACTGAAGAAAGCTGGAGTGTCAGTTACTGTGACTCTTCTGTTTGACACTTCAGCCGTGTGTTTTCGGCATCTGTCAGTGATGGAGGTCAGACTCCGCCCGGACTGAAACACATCTTCACCCAGGATAGTGTTTCCAGAAGCGCTCACTCCAGAACCGGTTTTACCGATCAGCAGAATCTGAAGATGGTCTACAGTTCGCTGCATCACTGAAAAACGCGAGAAATAGTGCCTTAATTCTTTATAAAGCTTCATTCTTGAAACCAATTTAAAATCAACAGCAAAATATTCAGTAAAGTCTGTTAAAGCTGTAACATCATCACCGACTCCTCGTCGTTATGCTTCACTGCATCGTAACATCATCGTATACCGTAGACTTAAAAAAAAAACAACAACAAAAAAAACAAAAAAACAATAGTGACTAAGTAATGCGTAAAATTTACATTCTTATGTAGGACCCAGAAGCGTGACCTTACCGTTTGTCGTTCTGTCTCGGTTGTCGGTCCAAATAGGTCAATATTTACTGCACTTAATTACGCTCAGATTTCTGAGATCACGGCATGAAGTGACAGCAGCGCACTGCGCAAAATGGTTTACAGTGGCTTCATCAAAATGGCTTCAAGTTCTGTACTTTCACTTTCGATTGATCCGCCCCACTCCTGACCTCCATATGTCTCATTGTTCTTGTTCAAGCAGCAGCGGCTCCTGATCATGAGTTTAGGAGGAGCAGATTCTGGCTCGTATCGTAACGCTGTATAACTAATCTATGAGTTTAACGTTCAGATGTCTGAATGCTGCCAGAGGTCTGGTGTCCTTGCGTAATTCAGCCTGAGGGTGGCGCGCTAATGTTGCTCGGCAGACACTACATACACATGGAATCTTAGAAAGCACACTTTAATGTAGTAGGCTATTTATTGACTTATTCGTGTTCGAATATTGACTTAGAATGTTACAAATTGTGGAAAAGCTACGTCGATTCTCAGAACAATTAACCAATACTGTAAATAAATGCACCGAACTGTGCTAACTAAACAAACACAAATGATTTATTTAGAGGTTATTATTATTAGTATTAATCTTTTAGGTCTACTGGTTGTTCTTTTGCAGTTGTTTCTCTTTCTGGATTGTAGATATTTTGTATATTCTTATTTTATCTATTCACAAGAGTACATTTAAACGAAATGATTTATAATTTTACTAATTTGACGGTGATCAGTTTCTATAGGAATTTGGCCTGCCATTGTTTCATATTAGCAATTTTTTGATGACTGCTTTGTTGAACTTTTTTTTTAACTGAACCAAACCTACCATTTTTTATTTTTTTTTTACAACTACAGACAAAACTGTGAGATTCACAACTTATTTTGTTATGTTGCCATAAAGGTTGACAAACAAGGACCATGTGGTGCAATAATCATGATTTAAATGTATTAAAGGTTAATGTTATCAAATAGAAATAGGCTCACAGTAAACAAAAAAGGGGATTTACAGTATAGGGGCTCATATATTAATAAACTGTCACAAAAAGAAACCTGAATTCTCTGTAAAATAAGACATTAACAATACACACTCCAATGTTGTTGCTACACAGGGACGTGCACGGGCATTTTGAGGGGCAGGGGCTCAAGTGGAAAAAAGGGCACTTCTCATATTTATTTAAAAACTTTTCTAAACAAAATGTTAAATATATCAGGGGTGTGCAATATTATATTTATCTCAATATTTTCTGGGATTTTATCGATAACGATAATTAGATGATATTTTGCTGAGTGAGTTATTGTGCTGATATCTTAAGGACTGCCGTGGACAGCTGACTCCTAAAGTTTTTGATATTCTTCATATTCTGTGTGGTCAGTTCACAGCAGTGAAATAATTTAATTGTTTTCCAATAAGTTTAAATTGATTTTT